CCTGTTGCCCCTTACCATCCGGCCCAGCAATGGCCGGGCGGAAAGAGCGGTTCGATCGGCCAAGGAGGCTTTGGGCTGTATGAACCGAGGCGACTGGCAGGCAAGGGTGGATGTGTACTTAATGGCACAGCACTCCACTCCTTGTCCCCTAACTCGGAAAAGCCCCGCGGAGCTGCTGATGGGCAGGCGCCTGCGGACCACCCTGGATAGACTGCACCCCCTCTATTCAGGGATTCAGCTGGCAACCTGGGGTCTCCCTCCCGCTCTTTCCTTCCTGGGGACGTGGTGTGGGCTCGAAATTACTCCGGTGATCCTTGATGGGTGCCTGCCACCATCATCGAGGTAACGGGACCCGTCTCCTACAGGGCCAGACTTCCAGATGGCACCATTTGGCGGCGGCACCTGGATCAATTGAGGAGCCGCCACAACAACGAGAAGCCAACTCAATCTGTCCCGCAGGGGCCAGCCGCTGACGCCTCACAGCCAGCCCCGGTTCCGCAACCAAGCTCGCCATTGCAACACATTCCAGCCTTTCCGTATGCAGGCCAGCCTACTCCAGCCTCCGGGTCTCCACCCTTTGCTGGCAGATCCATCCCATCTCAAGCCGAGCCCGCAAACTTCCAGCCCTAGTTAGTAGGCCTCTTTGGGCCTGGCCCTCCCCAATCCAAGGCCGCCTACCGGCCTATTCAAAATCCACTGCCATCATCGGCCGCGCCCCCTTCGTCCAGCCTACCTTCTCAGTGCAGTCATCCAGCACACCCGGGATGTTCTTCTGACGTCACCTGGAGGTACACTCCCCGAAGGGAGGAGCTCTTACAGGGACATCTTCTTCCATCTCCGCCTGCAGTCCAACTGCGGCGGTCAGGGCGTGTCCGCCGCTCCCCTGCTTACTTAAGCGACTACGCCTGGTCCGTTTCAGATGCATGCGCATCACTGGGGGGGAAGGAGTGTTGTAGCCTCGTAAGTCCTCGGACTTACGAATGACAGCTCAGCAGCAGCCAGGCACGTCTTAGCCAATCAGACGCGCCTGCCAGTTGCCGGGCTGTTATACGCGAGGCTATTGGTTGAACTACTTGATAGCCGAGTATAAAAGGCTGTCAGACGAAAGAGAGACGCCGGTCTACTCACAGTTGATGTTCTATTCGTTCTTGTTTGAATAAACGGTTCAAGGTTAGCTCAGACGCCTCCTCGTAATTTCTACCGCCGATCTAACAGTTACTTTTTAAACCCAACTCTCTAAACCAATCCTGTTCATTGTCAGTAACCATTAATACACCCATTCCAACTTTTTGTCCATAAATCGGGGGGAGTGATTTTAAAGCCCATGTGAAAATTTGCNGTGCCGGTCTACTCACAGTTTCTGTTCTTGCCTGTAATAAACTGTTTGAAGGTTACCTCAGACGCCTCTTCGTCTTTCCTGCCGCCGATCTAACAGTTTGGATTCAGAGAGTAAGTGGAAACAAAGAGCCATCCAAAAAGAAAAATAAGCTCAAGGAAAAATGCTTTGAAAAATATGCACTCTTTGCCTTGCGCACTTGGAAAATAAAATCCGGACCTTACCCACTCTCATGGCCTTTAGAAAAGCTGTTAAAACCTGGCTATTCCAGCAGGCCTGGGGCTGTTGACCTCATTGTTGAGGTCCAGCCCCGATTGTAACGAATGTATGCGTGTTGATTTTAACCTGTTTTTATTTTTATTTTTTATTATTTCTTTTTTCTTTCGTTGTAAGCCGCCTGGAGTCCTCCGGGATTGGGCGGCCTATAAATCGATTAAATAAATAATAAATAAATAAATCAGTTTCCTGATCCATAATTTGGCTAACTTCTCTTTGAATATACAACTTTGGTTTAGATTACATTCCTTCTTATGGTTGAGAAACTTTTATGTCACAAGATTCAGTGGACTTAATTTTTTTTCTTTGGATTCTCCACAGCCAGCTGATGCTTCTGAGAAAATTAACTGAACAAAAGCCCCCATCAAACTAGTTTTTCCCAACTACAAACATGGGAAGTAGGGAGCAGATTGTGTTTGCTAGAAAATCTTGAGGGTGGTAGAAAATTGGCCTTCTCACAGGCTTCCAGATATCCATAGAAGGGATTTGTCTGCAACTTGATTGTATACACATTCTAAATCTGACTCTGTAAGGGAGCTTATATTACTGAGATACACAGTGTATTCCTGGTTCATGTGAATTATCTATTTTATTGGTTACTGACCCCACCTTTTATGTATTAGCACTAAGGTGGGAGACTCCTTCTCCAAAAGCTGCAGTAACTGCAACATTTTTTTCTAGTTATTGACCTTGCTCAGTGTCTTAAAAAAAATCCAGTCTTAAAACCCCCGAAAAGCATCAACTTTCCAGCCTCTGTATAAATAAGTGTGCTGTATATTAAGGTAATAAAATCTGCATGTGTGAACAGAGAGAGCTTTTATTATCTTTCTATTTATTTGGAGCCATTCATATAGAGTTGATCATTTAAGCATTTTTTCTGGATAGCATGCCAAAGAAAATCCATTGGTTGATTTTTAAAAGCTGATACACTTCCCTTTTATGTCTTAATAACTAATTACAATTAGATTGGTGAAAAATGAGAAAATAATACAGGCTACAAAATGGACAGTCTTGAATTGAATTTACCCCTAAACCATCTTCACATTTAGAAAATCTATTTGCTTTTATCTAATTTGGAAACTCACAATTTTTATTCGGTGTTTAATTTAAACATTAATATATCCTGTAAAGTTTGGAATTCTATTTTTATTAGTCACATTAAGTACTTCATCACATTAAAGAGACAAATCTAATGAATGAATAAATGAGCAAACGGGCTGAATTTATCCTTTAACTTTAAGATTGTGGGGATAAGTTGTTTTTGCTAGATTTACAAGATACATCATTGGAAGTCAGGTTGAATAGATTCAGAATTATATTCATGGTACAGTCATGTCACTGTTCCCATTTTAAAATATTTGGCAATAAGAAGGACAGTGATAAAAAATTAAAAGCCTGTGAAGAAAGTAAATATACTTAGATGGCTGAGCTTTTTGTTTTTGAATTTGGTATGAGTTAAAGGTTTTGTGCTTTCTTTAAAGATTTTCCACTTGTAATTTATTGCAGTAATCTAGCATGATCTAATCAGAACACGTATTACTGAGCTAAAAGGTTAGGGAATATGTCCTCCTTCAAGAAGAGACATTTATTTCCATCCAAATCAGTATCAGCTCAGAAGACTCCATTTTATCAGGACTCCTTTTCATATTATTTTCCTGTATTCTTCTCACATGTGGCCTTACACACTTTATTTCCTCTTTCTGATTTATGGTAAAATTGAGAAGTGTAACTGCATGTAATTCACATACAAATCATATCATAGCCACGATATGTATAAAGAACTTTATAGATGATAAGTAGCATCTTAAATTTGACTTTAAAAGCCAGGGCTGGGTTTCAACCGGTTCGCACCGGTCCCTGCGATCCGGTTGGTCGCCGAACCCGGAAGTAAGTAACTTCCGGGAACGGCGAAGCCCCCCCCCCGCGCGCGCCCGCACACCCGCGCCCGCTCCTTACCCGGTTTTTTTGAATTTCGTGCTTTCCACGCATGCGCAGAACGCCTGCGTGATCCTCCAGGAGCAGCTGGAGCATCGCGCAGACGCTAATACGCATGCGCGCGCTGCGTGCGTGCACACGCGTGCCGCGTGCGTGCGCTAGGACGCCGCGTGCGTGCGTGAGGACGCCGCCGGCCTCGTTCCAACCGATCCGGTTGGAACGGGGCGAGAAACCCACCCCTGTTAAAAGCCCACTAAAAGCCAAAACAGAGGGGTTACATGAGGGAATCAAATACATCCAGCAACATATCAGATTTTAAATACATGATGGCATTTGAACAGAACATATGTAACTCTGTGTACATAATTTTTTTTCATTGTAGCTAAACTTACCAAGATATTTATTTTGTTTAATTAATTCAGATAAACAGGTAGCAATTTTCTAATTCTATAATAGTATTAGATTATTTTTGATTTTGAAAGGACTGTCTTTTCCCAATCATATCTACCCAACCAACCATGGCAGGGAATGCTATGGGTTCTTGTCTCCTAAGGAGGACCATTTAGTAGGACCAAGAATAAGGTCCTTCTCTGTAGTAGTTCTCTCCCTATGGAGCATCATCCCTGCAGAATGGTCCTCACTTTGACACTCTTTCACAAGCCTCTGAAGGAAGGGTTCTGCCAATAAGCATAAGAGACCCCATAGTGATAGGGAATCCATCAAGTGGCTGATCAGATTATTGAGCCACAGGGTCACCAAGAGTAAATTTGGCAGCCACATAAATTTTCTAAATAAATATATTTTCTAGTTTGAAAGTTGTACTTTTTTTCTTTATCAATAGGTGACGATGATTCCCCAAAACCAACAGCACCACCTCCTCAGCCCAAACCTGGGAGTCATGGCCACAGTGGAGGTAAGTTTTTTCCTCAAAAAAGTATATCTTTCATGCCTACTCATAGAATCATAGGGTTGAAAGGGACTTTGGAAGTCAACCCCCCTACTCAAGGCAGGAGACTTATAGCATCTCAGTCGAATGGTTGCCCAGTCTATTTTGAAATCCTAGTAATGGAGCACCCACAACCACAGGAAGCAAGTTATTCCATTGATTAATTGTTCTCACTGTCAGAAAATTTATGGGTTGTAACTTCTTTGATAAGCTTCCACCCTTGCTCTCTGGTACAGGACTGCCTCTAGAGAATAAGTCAATCCTCTCTTCTTTGTGACAGGTCTTCAAGTCCTGGAAGAAGCACCACAGATTCTTCTTTTCCATACAATAGACATAACTAGATCCGTCAACTGTTTGTCATACGATTTAGCCTTCAGACCCTTTATCATCTTTGTTGCTCTTCTTTGCACCTTTTCCAGAGTGTCAACATCTGTTTTGTATTGTGGTGACCTGAACTGGAAGCATTATTCCAAGTGTGGTCTCACTAGTACAGTGTAAGGCCGTACTATCACTTCTTGTTGTCTTGATGCTATCCTTCTATTGATGTTGACCTATTTTAAACCTATGCATTTAATTTTTCCTTCTTAAGTACAGGATCTTAATTTTCTCATCACTAAACTGCATCTTAGGCCCAATGCTCAAATCTGTCAAGATTATTCTGAATCTTGAATATAACTTTCAAAGTATTATCAATTCCCCCAAGCTTGGTGTCATCTGCAAATTTAATGAGTTCCCCTTTTACTGCACATCTCATTTATGAAGATGTTGGGGAGTACTCGATCCAAGACCCAATCTTCAGGTATCCTACATGCTTCCCTCCATATAGATGTAGTTCCAGTGAGGACTACCCACTGAGTGCAGTTGCTCAGCCAACTGAGAATCCATCTGGTGGTGGTACTGTCTATCTCTGATTGTGTTATTCTTGCTGAAGTCCAAGTCCACATCATTTCGCTGAAATTTGGTTACTTTATCAAAAAAGACAATAAGATTTGTCTGGCATGATCTGTTTTTAACTCACGCTGGCTTCTAGTAATGCTGCTGATATTTAAAGTTGTAGGCGTAACACAAGCCACTCTTGCTTTTGTCTTTCATTTCTTCCTCCCTGTCAGTGTTGGTGGAATGTTACATACTTATACTATTCTAGTATTAATTAGGATTTGATCTGATTGTGTTTGTGGTTAAAATAAATTACAAACCAGAAAACCTCCAGGGTCCCTTCCAACTCTTATGAGTCTGTATTCTGGTTGAGAAAGGCTTTTGTCAGCTTCTGTTGGAGGGAAACATCTTCACAGTAGCAGTCAAATACTTCTTGCTTGTGCCATATCCCTTGGAGAGCTTTCTCATCTTTCTGTCTGCCATCTCACCCTAATCAGATTAGATTGTGATACATATGTACTTGTCTTCAACTCCTATGTGCATTATAAGAGCACGGCCCTTTTGCTCTTCGGCATTTTTATTCTTATGAATCTTCCCTTCTGGGACTTAATTTGTCCCTGTATGTGGAGTGTCATTGAATCATCTTGATCTGTTCTGCTGTATGTAGTGTCTGAATTAATACAATTTTTGTAAATAATATTCTTTGTATTTTGTACTTGATAAATAATGCTGTTTTTAAATCACTTCAGTTGTACAATCTAAGTGAATACATTTTTTTAATTGATAAATCCATAGAAATCTAAAAAAAAATCAGTTATGATTACTATGAAGAAATTCTGGATATAATTATGTCATCTGCTACTAATATCAGGAGGGCAATTAGCCATAGTTTATGGATTATGTCAGTGTCCGTAAATAAAAGTGAATAAATGTGCTTTGATTTTGAAAAAAGATGGTTAATAGGTCTTCTCACATGTTCGGAAATACCATTTCAAAGGATTTGCATAGCCAACTTGCAAAGTACTATTTTGTTTTCTTGGTACCTGTGTATTCATAATTATGAAACATTCTTAATTGAGAAACATTTTTGGTGTTTAGATAGCAACAAAACATGAATCTGACATATAGTTAAGCTTAATGACTGAAGCTGGAAATTATGTAAAACTCCACTATGCAAATTGAGGGATATATTATGTACATTTTAAAGTGTGTTTTTACTCCTTTTGTTATTATTAAAGGATTTGAAGATTCAGATTTATTCGATGGTGACCTGCCACCTGATAATCCAAAATCAGGTATGTTTCAAATATTCACTATATTTAAAATAATATAGCACTCACATTGCTACCGAACATTGCTACCGTCCTTCCCCCACCCCTTTTGAACTGTGAGCCGCCCTGAGTCCCCCCAGGGAAAAGGGCGGCATACAAATAAAGTGAACTGAACTGGTAGCAAAGGTAAATTGATTTCACCCCTGGCTAGAGGGCGCTTATTGCGTAACTTCGAATGTTCGCTAAGGGAACCCTCATAACCTGGATATTACCTATGTGCTTAGCTCAGCTATCCTTGGCTTTATAAACTGCAAATGCAAGGGCTGGTCGCAAAGTTACTCTTTCCTTATCGTTGTAATAGCAATAGACTTACTGCTTCACAGGGCTTTACAGCCCCCTCTCTAAACAGTTTACAGAATCAGCATATGGCCCCCAAACAATCTGAGTCTTCATTTTACCAACCTCGGAAGGATGGAATACTGAGTCAACCACTCTAACCACTGCACCACCACTGCTCCTGGTATTACTATAAACAGCTTCTGTACAAGCAATACAGGTAGACCATTAAACAAAGTCTAATTGCATTGCTACTCTGTAGGACAGTGGTGGGTTTCAATGTATTTTATTACCGGTTCGCTGGTGTGCACTCGCGTGACGCTTCTGCGCATGCACAGAAGCGTCTGGGCGGGTGGGAGCCTCCCGCTGCCGCCACTACCGGTTCACCTAATCCAGGGCGAAATGGTAGAAACCCACCTCTGCTGTAGGACCAACTCCTGGTTTCATGTGTAGGTTTGCATGTACAGCTAATAGAAACTTATTTGATTCTCAGTTATCTCTTAATAGCATAATTTGAGTGTTTCAAGCATAATGTGACTGTTGCTTCTCATACTATTATTATACCCCTTTTTTAATCTAGGCCATCCTTCGAACCCTTCCTCAGGTATGTTATGAACATATGTTTCTTTTCACTAAACTGTTCTTCAAAACTGGTGCATCAGATACTTCTTATTGCATTTGTTTTCTTACTGTATTTGTTTTGAGGCACGCATGGATTAATGATTTAGTTAAATCTTTCTCCTAAGATTGTGAACTTTTTCATTTAAAATAAAGGTCAATTAAAATTTATTTACAAAAGGCCATCATGTTTTTTAATAATGTAAGGGCAATCCTTAATATTTTAAAGGCAGCTACAGGACAGGAATATTTTAGTTCATAAAAGCTGCAACTTATTCATTATTCATTTTGCAAGCTATTTAATAATGTTTATTAAAACAAAAATCATAATATACTATATGTTTCACAGGACATTAGTTGTCAAGCAACCACAGTAAGAAGACACATATACCTTATTTCACTGTTACTCACAAACATGCTATATCAGGTATAAAAGGAAATTTGGAGAAAAATAGAATTGACAGAGCCACTGCACAGAATGTATGTCACTTATGACTATTATGACTTATTAAATAAGTTTTGATTATAACAATCCTGGCAAAATATTTTCATCATAAATAAAAGTAGTTATAAGAATATAACTGAAAAGTGAAACTAGACGGTTATATTGCTTCTTCCTATATAATTGAAACAGTAGTCTGCCTTCTGAGCAAACATAATAGTTAATTTAGTGCCTTATTTTGCCAGGAGGCTTCCCTGAAGGCTCCGGAGGGCAAAAAACGACCCTACAGACAAACCAGAAGTGACTTCCAGTTTGCACGTAGGGTTGTTTTTTGCCCTCTGGATCCTTCAGGGAAGCCTCTTGAAGGCCCCTGAAGGCTCGGGAGGGCTGAAACCAGCCCTACGAGCAAACCGGAAGAGACTTCCGGTTTGCTCATAGGGTCATATTTTGCCCTCCGAAGCCTTCAGGGAAGCCTCCTGAAGGCTCTGGAGAGCTAAAACCGGCCCTACGAGCAAACTGGAAGTCTATTCCTGAACTTCCAGTTTGCCCATAGGGACAGTTTTTCGTGCTCCAGAGGCTTCCTGAAGCATCCGGAGGGCGCAAAATAGCCTCAAAATAATGCCAAAAGACCCCCTGATAGGGCAACGCCTCGCGTGCCCTGACAAATGGTTCCGTGTGCCACCTGTGGCACACGTGCCATAGGTTCACCATCACAGCTATAGTCTGTACAAGCAGTATACAGGAAAGCTAAAGGCTTGGTTTTAAGCATGGGGATTTAGAACATACTGATTTAAACTGTTTCAAATATGAGACATCCCATCTGAACTGAAATGATTGGAAGATCTCCTGATTTCAAATATGCATCAAGGTTATTTCATTTAAAAAAAACCTTGTTTCTACTTTACTTTGTAACAAAAGTAGTCCATTTTCTGTCTTGTACAGCATGGCTTTATAATATGTAATAAACCTTCTTTAACCAACTATTCTTTGGTTAAAGGTAGGGATGATTCTGGCTCCGCTGGAGCTAAAACAGGTAAGCTTTTCTTTTAATCCCTTGTTCTAACTTACTACACATTTTGAATGTTCCTTGGCAGATAAAGTTAGATTTTTAATTGGGGCAAATTCTTTTAAGCTTGGTCCCTTATCTGAAAATTGGACTCCTCATCTGTATTGTCGAGAAAACATTCTACCAACATGTGGAATCCATAGCTAACCATCTTGTCTCTATTTCAAGGATAAGAAGTTATAAGAAATTTGCCAGATAAATTAGATCTGAACTTAGACTACTGAAGCATGATCATCCACCACAAGCTCTACATGCCCATTTAGGTTCCACCACAAATCCGCGAAGCCCTTATCCGCGGAGACATAAGCGCGAAGACTAATTCGCGCTGTTCGAAGCGCTAAGGAAAAACGCGACCCTACCATGATGACATAATCGCGGAGGGCAAATCCGTGCATTCCCAAGCACCCTAAACCTAACCCTAAACCTAACCCTAAACCTAACCCTAACCCTAAAACAAACCCCTAAACTTAACCCTAAACCTAACCCTAAACCTAACCCTAAAACAAACCCCTAAACTTAACCCTAAACCTAACCCTAAACCTAACCCTAAAACAAACCCCTAAACCTAATCCTA